TTGAATGGAAAGGGAACCTTTCAGGCTTGAAATAACAAACTAAATAGCTTGCTTGATGATGCTCTCCAATGCTTGCTAAAACAGACTCGGGTTCTGGTGACCCACGGGCTGAGCTTCCTGCCCCAGGCTGACCTGATTCTGGTGATGGAGGATGGAGAAATCACGGAGATGGGCTCTTATGCCGAGCTTTTGAGTAGAAAGAACACCTTTGCAGACTTTGTTAAAGCTTTTTCCGTTAGCGAACGCAAGGAAAGTGCCACCAACAGAGGTAAGCTAAAAGAATGAGTGCTTGATGAGTTACTACAACAACACTTTTTTATGTTGACAGTTAAAATGCAGATTCGCCTTGTTTTAGGGACCAGAAAATCAGTATCTCGTCTCAGCATGACAGACTTCTCTATTGACCTCTCCCAGGAGCAACTCATCAGGTAAAAGTCACTAAGTTTTGATAATGAAAATGCAAATGTTATTGAGGAGCACATATTTACCTTGCTGTCAATTTTGTTTAATAAAGCGGAGACATGGGAAGTGCCAGTATACAAACCATGGAGGCTATATCTGACACAGAACAGGAGCAGGACCAGGAGGAAGTTGGGAGACTCACCCAGGCTGACAAAGCTCATACAGGCCGAGTAAGTAATAGAGCCACATCCACAGACATTTCAAACAATGGGTAGACACATCAAAATATACCTTCACATGTAACTCAATACCAAAGGCCAAAGATTTAGAGTGGCAGGTCAGTTTTAAAGTTCAGCTACGGGTCAGCGACAAGGGTTTCAGATACTCTCATGTCACCACAGAGATCTAATTTTAACCCCTGATTACAGGTCTTTGAGCTTCATTGTTCCAAACACCATAATATAGCCTGAAAGTGCACTTTATCATCCAGAGTGTCGTTCCTCACACGTTCTTCTCCATAATGGGTCACACATAGGTGAAACTGGAGATGTATGTGGAGTACTTCAGGACCATCGGCTTGGCCTTCATCATCCCCGTCATCTTCCTCTACGCATTCCAGCAAGCTGCCTCACTGGCCTACAACTACTGGCTAAGCCTGTGGGCAGATGACCCGGTTGTAAATGGAACACAAGTCGGCACGGATCTGAAGCTTGGTGTTTTTGGAGCTCTCGGCTTTGCACAAGGTTCGAAATCTCTCATGTTCCTCAACCCTCATTGAGTATCCTTGGACTTTGTATTGTTCTTGATCATTAACGGTGTTGTTGTATTGCAGGAATTGCAATATTTGGCACTACTGTGGCCATTTCACTTGGAGGAATAATTGCATCCCGGCATCTTCATTTGGACCTTCTCAACAATGTACTTCACTCTCCTATGTCGTTCTTTGAGAGTACACCCAGTGGTAATCTTCTCAATCGTTTCTCTAAAGAGATAGACGCCATTGACTGCATGATCCCTGATGGGCTGAAGATGATGCTGGGCTATATGTTCAAACTTCTGGAGGTTTGCATTATCGTGCTGATGGCGACTCCTTTTGCAGGAGTGATCATACTGCCACTGACTCTGCTCTATGCCTTTATCCAGGTATGCTACTAGGAGATTGCTCAGCATGCAAGAGTATCATACCAAGAAGCACCAGTCTGACATCTATTCTCCTGTGTTTTCAGAGCTTCTACGTGGCCACATCCTGCCAGTTGCGTAGACTGGAGTCGGTGAGTCGATCACCCATCTATACTCATTTCAATGAGACAGTCCAAGGAGCCGGTGTGATTCGGGCCTTTGGAGAACAGTCTAGGTTTATCCTACTGGCTAACAGCCGAGTGGACCACAATCAAACATCCTATTTCCCAAGATTTGTGGCAACCAGGTCAGATTCAGTCTTGGCTTATTAATTGTTGGTACTGTTAATCCAGTCTAACTCTATACAATATCTTTAATGTTATTCCAATAGGTGGCTGGCAGTAAATCTAGAGTTCCTGGGTAATTTGCTAGTCCTTGCTGCAGCTATTCTCTCTGTTATGGGAAGGGCAACTTTAAGCCCTGGAATCGTGGGACTGGCTGTGTCGCACTCTCTCCAGGTAGGAAACTCATCAAAAAGTCTTTGAAAATCTTTGGACAACCACACATGTTAGGCAAGCCTATTAGGCAACAACTTCTCAAGAAAAATTACATTGCAGGTAACTGGGATCTTGAGCTGGATTGTGCGGGCATGGACAGATGTAGAAAACAACATTGTGTCTGTTGAGCGAGTGAAGGAATATGCCGAAACAACAAAAGAGGTAATGTTGGTCTGAAGGCTGTTTTTTTCCCCATGAATTCCTTTATATAAAGCGACCAAATTATATTTTTACGTTCATTCTTGAGGTCACTGAGTTAGTCTTGGGTTGTCGCAGGCACCATGGGCAATCGAGGACAGTCCACTCCCATCAGACTGGCCCAAATCCGGATCCATTGGATTCCAGGAATATGGACTTCAGTACCGCAGGGGTCTTGACTGGGCCTTAAAAGAAATTTCTCTCAGTGTTAATGAGAGAGAGAAAGTAAATATAACATCTGAACACATTGTGTCATATTTGTGCTTTATTTTTTATTACATTCTAAGCGATTCACTGAATCTATTCAGGTTGGAATTGTGGGAAGAACAGGGGCCGGAAAATCATCTCTTGCTCTCGGAATCTTCCGGATCCTTGAGGCGGCAAAAGGAAAGATCTTCATAGATGGGATAAACATTGCAGAGATTGGACTGCATGAACTGAGGTCTCGTATCACCATTATCCCACAGGTACACCTGAAAATGGAAAAAAGGATCGAATACCTTGACAAACGTAAAAAAAAAAAAAAAACTTTGAGCGTTTTATTTTCAACTTTTTTTCCCCCAAGGATCCAGTGCTGTTCTCTGGTTCCTTGCGTATGAATCTGGACCCGTTTGATGGCTACACTGATGAGGAGGTCTGGAGAGCTCTGGAACTCGCTCGTCTCAAGAACTTTGTGTCTGGCCTGCCTGACAAACTCAACCATGAGTGTTCAGAGGGAGGAGAGAATCTCAGGTATAAACAACTTCTCAACAATGTTTATTCTTCATTTGACTAAAATCTAGTATGACAGTTTCTGACTGGATATTCTGGGTTTCAGTTTGGGTCAGCGGCAGCTGGTTTGCCTGGCTCGAGCTCTCCTCAGGAAGACCAAGATTCTGGTTTTGGATGAAGCCACTGCAGCTGTAGACCTGGAGACGGACAATTTAATACAGTCCACTATCCGAACTCAGTTTGAGGACTGCACCGTTCTGACCATCGCACACCGTCTCAACACCATCATGGACTACACAAGGTATAACAAAGAGCACGTGTTTATTTCTAAAAAGAATATGATTATGATTACTGACAATAATTCAACCCTATTCAACTGTTCCCAATAGGGTGATTGTGATGGACAGAGGGCACATCACAGAAATGGACTCTCCAACTAATCTGATCTCTCAGCGTGGTCAGTTCTATCAAATGTGCCGGGAGGCTGGGCTAGTGTGAACCTTCAATACCAGAGGAACCATCAATGACAAAATCATCTCTTCCCTCAGGAGAGACTATAAAAATGGTGCAGAAATCTCACCAATACACCTGCTCAGACTACCTGAAACTTTTCATTACACAACTTACTAAAGGGCATATCTTACCTTCTCAAACAAGAGAAGCACAAAGCTCAGGGTGAAGAAGTTTTGCCAGTAATAGCTGTTCAGGTGTCCACGTTTTCTCCAGTATTACAGAAGTGGTGTGCTTCAGCATTCACCTGCTGATTCTTTAACTAGGATCTGAGGCGCTAAAAGAACAGACTGATTCCTCATGTCGTCAACAGTCTCATCTCAGAATACTAACACTTGAGTAACGTTATCTTACCGTAGAGGTGTTCAGTAGGTAAATATAATGCACACTTCAGATGGTCAGAGGGTGTGCACAGCCATGTTCACCACCTCTCACTGCTGTCAAAGTGAAGATTTGTGGAAATTTGTAGTTTATTGTTGTAGATCCTGGCATAACACAGCTGCAGAACTAGTCACAATTCTACTTGAACCTTTTCAGGTTGTTACATGAATTTCTTAATTATATCAGCTCATTAAACCCTAAATTCTCATAAAGGTGAAAAGATTAATCTATTTTAAGATATTTATGATGTGAGAAAGATCCTTTAAAGGGGTCATATGATGCGATTTCAAGTTTTCCTTTCTCTTTGGAGTGTTACAAGCAGATTGTGCATAGATAAGATCCCTGAAGTTACAAACACTAAAGTCTCAAAACCAAAGAGATATTCTTTATCAAAGTTAAGACTCTGCCACGCCCCCCTAAAACGGCTCGTTCTAACACGCCCCAACATAGGAGTTTTGCGCATCGTGTGTGTGTGTGTGTGAGTGAGTGTGTGAGAGTGTGAGTGTGAGTGCGCGCGAGTGAGCGAGAGAGAGAGAGAGCGCGAGAGAGCACATACCAGCTTCATCACTGTGTCTGTTACGCGACTCTGTTCCCCTTTCGGGCTCTGTCTTTACATTTATTTTGAAAGATGAAGCTCGCGATTATGGTAAGGGGCGTTACATTTCCGACGAGTGCTTGCGGTGTTCGGCCAATCACAATGCATTGGGTCAGCTGGCCAATCAGAGCAGTCTGCTCTGATTGGCCAATCACAATGCACTGGGTCAGTTGGCCAATCAGAGCAGACTGCGCTTGTTGGAAGGAGGGACTTTGTAGAAAACGAAGCATTTGAGAGGCATAGAGGACCTACAATAATGTACAGTATTTGAAAAATAATGTGTTTTTTGAACATTAAAGCATGTCAACATATTCTGTTACACCAAATACACAAAATAATGATCTTTAAAAAAAGCATCATATGACCCCTTTAATGTTAAAAACAATGCAACACCCATCCTTATACTGAATTTGTCTGTGTATTAATACTAGTATTTTTTTCCATAATCTAAAACTTTAAATCTGTATTTATGTATTTTGTACTGTATTTTTTATATATTTATAACATTTCCATGCACACTTCATGAGTGACTGTCAAACTTGAAAATGCTCTTTTTATTTTCTGGACAGCTTCAGTAAAATAAATGTTGGTAGTAGTGATCAGAAATCGTTTTCCTTCTCACTGTGACAAAATATTTTGAAAGACTGATTTCAGAAGTACAACACTGTTAAAACACTAACAAAAGGCTCTTTACAAAAATTTATTCATATTTCCCCTGTACATATAAGCCTGATTTATGAAACTAAGCACACTTAAAACTAGTGCATGTATACAAATATCAAATAATAACTTTGTTTACATACAAATCATATAAATATGTAACAAATCAGATATATATTTTTTATCATTCAAAGTGTGTCTTTGTCAGTTCCTTAAAAAAAACTGATTGGCCTTTAAAAAACTCAGAAGGCTTAAATGATCTAGAGTGGAGGTACTGATGAATGAAACAACGTGGCGCACTCAAGCGTACATTCAACAGATATATGGTATACAGCACAGAGTGAAGCACACAGCTCAGTAGGTACGGCCATCTCCAAGACAACCTGCCCTTAAAGAACTACTACGATTTAGGTATCTGACCTTAAAGTGGCAAAGGATTATTCCTACTTGTTTTTAAAACATCACTCCCAACAAACCTGAAAAATAAACCCTAGTTTGAGGTTTTTATAAAGAACAATAAGTGCATTCATAATTTTTTGGTGAAATTATCACTGAGAAATAATAGTAAACAAAGATCATTAATCAAACACACCAACTAAATATATTACCAATGAAAACAGAAGGTCAGTGTAGACTCTTCTGCATGATATTGGTAAGATGAGGCTTAAGTCGCCATTAGTGGGAGATACCCAGTAATAAATATGTTATATGATAAAATAATTTGATATAAAGAAAATAAATATTGTAACAGATTTTCTCAAACTATAAATAAAGATTAAATGAGAGCAAACAATGGCTATCTGGAGATGAAACTAGAGTTTTCAAATTTGTCGCTTCTTTGATAATGAGAATAGCTTCAAATATTAACTTTGGCTTGGGATGAAGTACCTCCTGCTCATGGAGGGATTTCCCAGCAGCTGTTTGGTCAATCAACAATTGATCACTGCATCAATGGTACACTGCACAGAGAAACTTTGTTCTTTACTCTTTCTAGTGAAACAAATGTTGCAAATATAATTGTTTTCATTACTAACAATCAACCAACCACTAGCAGCAAAGTGTGGCTTAGTGGTAAACTGAGAAGTCTTCCAAATGAAAACTGTCAACAAAAACTGCCATGAATAAATCAAACTAGTTTCAAACCTCCCAAATGTTGGCATCAAACAACCTTTAAAGCAGCATTTGCAGTGAAACCTTTAAAATGTGATTGAAAACGGAGGGCTACAGTAGCTGAGGATGGAGTGGTGTCATGTTCACACCGTGTGTGTGAGCTCCAGGCCCACAGAAGAAGTACCTTCAGAGTCCATGTCTCGCAAGGTCCACTCTCCAAGGGCTCTAGTCAGTGATATGTCCTGGATGAACAGAGGGCTCTTCAGCCGCTCTACTTTTCAGACCAAACCTGAGTCTTTGGCCATCTTGTAGAAAATTCCCTTCTTGGCAGTTAAATTGGACGGAGAATCAAATTCTGCCATCTGGCCTTTATCGAGAACCAGCACCCTTTTAAGAAAACAATGAGGGAACATTTTTAAAGTATTATTATATAACAATGATAATATAGTGTGAGGATAGTCTTTCAATTTTATTATTATTTATATAATTTTTTTTATTGTTATTTCATATTTCGCTATTTGATGAAGTTTCGTTATTTAAAAAAAAAGTTTACCTAGTGTAGTCCATGATGGTGTTGAGACGGTGGGCGATGGTCAGAACGGTGCAGTCCTCAAACTGAGTTCTGATAGTGGACTGTATTAAATTGTCCGTCTCCAGGTCTACAGCTGCAGTGGCTTCATCCAAAACCAGAATCTTGGTCTTCCTCAGGAGAGCTCGGGCCAGGTATTTAATCCCATTCTATTAACCAATGTCTTTGCTTCTGACCTTCGATGATCCAGTTCAACCATACTAATAAGCAAAAATTACTCTAGACAAACATTTTTTTATTGCTGAAGTGTGTTGAAATTTCTTCTCCTGCATTCTACTGTACGGACTTAAATTTACTTTCCTTTCAGCCTGAGGCTTATTCATTTCACTTTTGGTGTGAAAAGGCTTTTATATTTGCCAAAAATAGAACTTTTTTATTTTAAAAACAAACAAGCAAGCCCTGTCCAGATTTAAAAAGTAACGCAAAAGTAACATAACACATTACTTCCCATAAAAAGTAACTTAGTAATGTAATTAGTTACTTTTTTACGGAGTAACGAAATATTGTAATGCATTACTTTTAAAAGTAACTTTCCCCAACACTGTTTAGGTGTATTTAAGTGCGGTACCTGAGGAATGATTGTGATTCTGGACCGTAGCTCATGCAGGCCCAGCTCAGCGATGTTGACTCCATCTACACAAATCTCCCCCTGAGCTGCCTCGATGATGCGGAAGAGCCCTAATGTCAATGAGGACTTTCCTGCTCCTGTCCTACCCACAATTCCCACCTAAGAAAAACACACAAATACATACATGACTAACGTTGCATGTTTATAAGGAAAAAAATTGTTTATTGATGAAGTCAAAGCTTGAGCAGATTCTGAATATTGCAATGGCTCCAGGCACCTTTTCTCCTCCCTCAATGTTGACCGAGATATCAGAAATAGCCAGCTCTAAGTCCTCTCTGTATCTCAAGCCAAAGTTGCGGATTTCAATATGACCAGTGGTCGGCCAACCAGCAGGCAGAGTTGAGTGCTCCAACCTCCATTCAGCCTGTAATCAGAGACATTAATGCAGCATAGACCAACCACATCTCAACAATCCATCTTTAACACTGAAACCAGAAATACATGAAGTTAACTTGAAACACTTTTGGGACATTGATATGTCCTGCAGTGTGACATGCTGTAGTTCATCTAATACTTTTTGAATTAGCTGACTGTTTATTACACTACCGTTTAGAAGTCTGGGGCTGGTAGGATGTTTTAAATGTTTTTGGAAAAAAAGCTCTTATGCTCAACCAGGCTGCATTTATTTGACCACAAATACAGTGAAAACAGCAATTTTGTGAAATATTTTTAACAATTTCAAATAACTTTTCTATTATGATATAATTTAAAGTGTAATTTATTCCTGTGATGCAAAGCTGAATTTTCATAAGCCATTACTCCAGTCTTCAGTGTCACATGATCCTTAGATATCTTTGTGTGTGTGTGTGTGGACTGAGATACTATATATACTGTCACTTTTGATCAATTTAATGCATCCTTGCTCAATAAAAGTATAAACATTTGAATGTTAGTATAAAGAATCAAATTTTTATAAAGTGTACGTAATCATTTAAAAAAATTAAATCATTTTAAAAATCACTTTTAAAAATTCATTTGTCAAACTGCCGGTTCATTTAAATTTAACAAGTGAAGAAAAAAAGTTTATTAGAAATAGTAAAAAAAAAAAAAAAGACCAGTGGTCAGCATACCAAATGGAAAAAAGACCAGTTACAAGATCACATTTCATAAATTAATACAAATTGTAGCCTAAAATCCTGATGTTAGCAAAGAAAAAGTCCATGGAGACGTCAAATAAATTACCCAAAGCTCCGGAAACTAGTGCCACATTTTGTGGACATATACTATCCCCCACCCCTCCATGTGTGCTAAATATCCTCATCTCTCTAGTACAGTGTGAGATAAGGGAGGAAACAGGGCTAATCACAGATTGGACTCTACACAAGAACAGAATGAACACACACACAATCTGCCTGCTGGTGCACTGACCTCTTTCTCTGTGTCTCCATATTCCTTCACCTTCTCCACTGCCACTATGTTAGTCTCCAGCTCAGAGGACATCCGCACCAGCCAGTTCAAATATGTTGTGACCTGTGAGAAATACGGAACTAGTAAGGATTCGGATGTACATTTGGTCTGTATCTCATCATTTTAGAAGTTAGACTGACCTGCAGCGCATAAGAGATGGACAGCCCCATGATACCTGGACTCAGACTGTCCCTGGCCATCACTGCAAAAAGCGCTGCAAATGCCACAATACAGTTGCCCACAAACTCTAACCTCACTGCCAGCCATCTGCAGAGGCACAAAAACACACACAAATCATCAGCTTTCCAAAAAACAAAACACTACTACATCAAACTTAATGACACCTAATAGACCTAAACCAGGAAAAAAAATTAAAAACCTGGTGATCTTCTGCGAATTCTCACCGGTTGGCTACAATGCTGGGGAAATAAGCTTTTTGGTTGTGGTCCACTCTTCCGTCACTCTCTCTGATGAAGCGTTGCTGCTCTCCAAATGCTCTGATCACACTGGTGCCCAGCAGCGTCTCGTTAAAGTGTGTGTAGACAGGAGAGCGGCTCACAGACTCCAGTCGTTTCAGTTGCCGAGAGGACGCCACGTAGAAACGCTAATAGAGACAAAAAGGCAAATGTCAGAGCAGCACCCACCATTACTACACTTACACTGAAGTTTTAGATCTTGAACCATTTCTATCTAAATGTTTTTTAGCCTAAAGAATTACTAGCCTTTCCTAACAAGCAGCTGCATGGTAAAATAACTGACTGACCTGTACAAAGAAGTAAAGCAGGCCCAGCGGAGGGATGATGATGGCCACCAGCGGTGTGGCGATGAGGATGACAGCACATGAACCCAGCACATTAAACATGGAGCCCATGAACATTTTTATGATGCTAGGGATGACCGAGTCAATGGTGTCTGTCTCTTTGGCAAAGCGGTTGACCAGGTTGCCACTGGGTGTGCGTTCGAAGAAAGACATGGGCGATCTCAGGACGTTGTAGAGCATCGTCTGGTGCAGGTAGCGGGAGGCTAAGATCCCACCAACAGACACTGCCACAGAATAGCAGAACACTGCAATGCCTGTCAGAGAGAAAATGAAAAAGAAAAAAGAAAAAGAGAAATCTGGCTTTTCAGAATCAAACTGGTTACTGGACAAATTTGCTAAAATATTAATAAATTACAAAATAAATAAATACATAAAAATAACTACATGTAGGTATATTAAAGGGTTAGTTCACCCAAAATGAAAATTAGCCCATAAATTACTCACCCTCAAGTCATCCTAGGTGTATAAAAATTATATAGAAGGATGCCGAGTTCCATAAAAATGCATTACACTAAAAAATATTCTTAAGGGGCAATTTAACATTTATTTTAAATAAAAACACTTCACACACAATTTTGACATTAAACAATACTCAATATTTTACCTTAAAATGTAAAAAATATTATGAAAATACCATCATTATTAATCGCAGCTATATATCACCTATGAAATTGAGATGGTATTTAAAATATATATATATATATTAGTGAATTTTGGAAGGTATTCCAAAAAGGTATTCCAATGATGTAATATTGTATTTAGAAAAAGAAAAACGTTGGCACACCAAGAAACATTTTTTTATTACAAGTTCTAGCCAACAGTGACCATATGCCTTTAAACTTCACTGTTAGTTTATGGAGCTTTGGTGTACCAACTTTTTCCTTTTTGTGATTTTTGCAGTTGCTCACTCTCACTGAGATTTCTGCCTGCTGGATGTGTGCACTTATAATTTCTGCCGAACTGTTGATTCCAATCGAAATATTTACTGTTAACTGAAATATTCATGTTAAACTGCAGCGCCCAAAACACAAGCCCTGTTAAGGCAATGCATTTCTTTTACAGAATTGTACAATTCAATAAGGTTTTTGATTTCAAAGACTTTTTGTACATTACATAACTTTGGAATATGCATTTATCCATGTAACTACAAGCTAATCTGAAAGCTTGGTTGAGGAGGCTATGTAACCTTGAATACAAATTGTCATATTAAAAGCAAGTTTTCAGGAATTTAAAATGTAAACATATGTAATAACACACAACATGAATATCTGTTAAATCACCTTGTGTGAGTCCGAGGGCTCCATACACCCCTAAACGCATCTCTCTGTTGGGCTGTGTGTTGTTGATAACAGGGTCATCTGTCCAGAGACTGAGCCAGTAGTTTGAGCCCAGAGAGGACAGATGATGACAGAAGAACAGAAAGATACTGAAGATGGACAAGGGCAAGCCGATAGCCTTCATGTACTCCCAAAACACAGACAGCTTCACCTGCACAACACACAACATTCACTAAATCTCAAAATCAGATGGAAATAGGAACCGTGATCTCGCATCCTAACATAGAGATGGCTGACTCATACCCTGCCAGTGTTGGCCTTGTCAGCCTCAGTCAGTCGGGCAGCTTCTGTGGATTTGGCCTTCTTTGCGGCCGCAACATCATTGGGTTCAGTTTTCTGTGGGGTTTTACCTGTGCCTGCTGCATTAAGAGAGATCTGACTCTGCCTACAGGACACAGAGATAGAGCAGGCTAGCAAATAATGTCAAAAAATTATTAGTACATGACTTAAATGTTAAATGGTTGTTACATATAAGACAGGGTCTTTATCAACCATAACACAAGTCATTTTTAGTATCTAGCACAAATGAGTGAATGATGCAGTAAGTTTACATGGTTTTGTTCTTGTTTTTTATCTGTCAAACTGATGGACGGCATTTGGAATGACTGATTCAACGACTCGTGATTTGGTCACTATGTTTCTCAAGCTCACAAATGAAATAATCAGTGAATAACCAATTAAATTTCCACCTGTTTCTCACACAAATCTATCATGAGACTTCAGAAGACGTATACAGAAAGCAATGCACAAATTAGGAAAGACAAAAATGTCTCGCCACTAGTGATTCATCATGTTGCAACATGTCTAGTCACAGTGTTTATTCATGAATCAGAAAAGGTATTAGGAATCTCTTACCCCAACACAGCAGCAGGGCCCCCATTCTCAAGTCCTTTCCATGGGACTGCTTCTGTGGATGAGAAAATATATTCTACATCAGACAGAATTACACACACCTTCCATACTTATATCAATGACTTCTTAAACTATTCTGTTACAGAAGACAAGCTTTCTCATTATTATCTATAAATCATGTCATTCAAAAGCACCTATGCAACACTATCTTTTTGCAACAAATTTTGTAATCAAGCAGCAACTAAAACACCAGGTCACACATGTCTATATTTAATGTGGCAATAGAAGGCAATCATAATTTGCTTCTAAGCAACCACACCTCTCAGGCCAGCTGAAATGAAAGATAGTCTATCAAAACTGTAGACACTAAATCAATGTTTTAGGCTCAGAGGTGAAGGTTAGAAGAATCACCAGCAGGCTGCTCAGCACCTCGGACACATGAGGAACTGACACAGTGACAAGACCGGTGAACGTTAAAGGTTGAAGTCATTCACAGTGCTCCATTCTAACAAAAATGATGAATGTAAATCAGTAGCGGTTTTTGGCACGGGCGAACCGGGCAGTCGCCCGGGGCGGCGTTTTTTCATGATACATGGGGGGCGGCACGAGCAGTTAAAAAAAAATACAAAATCCTTTGCGCCGCCGCCGCGAAGCGGTTTTCTGTTATCTATCATTTCACTGTGTGGGGAATTGGCAAATTGGCGCCCCTGCTTGCTGAGAAGGTGCCGTGCACAGATTCGAAGGGGGTCTCGCCCAGGGTGTAATTCAATGTAGCCACTGATGTAAATGTCCTGCACAGACTACAAAGACATTTCGCTGGATATCTTAAATGAAATTATCTTATTTATAAATATCATGTTTAAATATCATTTTGATTTAAAATAAATGTTATTCTTTTGAACTTTCTATTCAAAGAATACTAAAAAAAAAAAAAAAAAAAAATTTATTTAGTAGTGTGTATATAGATATAGGTAGTATAATCATCTCTATTAAAAAATATATATTTTATTATTTTTTAAATTTTATCCAATGACAAATGTTTTTGTTCAAATTGTAAGCACCAAATCAGCATATTAGAATGATTTCTGAAGGATCATGTGAATTCAGCTTTGCCGTCGCAGAATTAAATTACATTTTAAAATAGAAAAAAATTGAAAAAAAAAAAAAAGAGTTATTTTAAATTGTAGTAATTTTTCCACAATATTACAGTTCTTATTTTGGTAACACTTTACTTAAAGCCTTTATGTACTGTATAATGCATTATAAAGGGTTAGTAAATGGTATAATACATTATAATTATTCATCTTGTCGTAAATAATTACAACCGAATTTAAAATGCATAGTGTAACAATGAATTGATAAGTGTTATAATGCATTAAGTGTGGTTACAATTATTTATGAGATTGTAGAACGCATTATAAGGTGCTCTACAAGGCATAATTAAATGTATTATAACTTCTTTTATAATGCATTATGCATGAAGGCTTTGTTTTTTATTCATTTATGTTTTGATCAAATAAATGCAGTCTTGGTGAGAATAAGAGACTTTAAACAGTAGTGTATTTTCTCAAAAAGAGTCATGCATGAATTATGTAGTAAAACACATCATTGCATGGCTCTCAAGTGAGATGGGGTCCAATTCTATTACTGTGAAAAGGGGTACCATTTACTCCATCAAAATGAAGCGCAGTGCAAGGATGTGTAAAAGGTAAATCTAAGGGTTGTGAGATCCAATAGTAATGAAGTGGGAAAGTACTAAAACAACTCAGTGTGCACCTCAAATATTTCAGGCCTCAGACCAGGATAATAAGCCCTATTCTAACATGCAGTACAGGCAGGCCTATTCAATTTATATGGCCCGGGGACAAATTACACCCTCAAACCTTCGGATTTCCCTTTTTCGTCCTCTGCCTCCCCTCCCTCCTCTGAAGAGCCAAAAGAGGGGACACAACAAATAAGAACAAATGGAGATGAAAACACAGACATACAGACCAAAAAAAGATCACTAGACACGGATTATTTTGGAAAAAAGATCACACACAATGTGAACAATAGTAATCATTTAGAGGAAACGGCTATGTGAAAGGACAGACGCATGAAAGCATGAAAGAAGTTCAGATATGAGGAGGCCAGCCTCACCTCCCACTGACTCCTCCACCTCCTCCTGCTCTGTGTTGGTGTAGGTACGCAGGAACTCAGCGAAAGCACCCTGTCTGCCCAGCAGCTCAGTGTAAGAGCCCATCTCTGTGATTTCCCCATCCACCATCACCAAGATCAGGTCAGCCTGGGGCAGGAAGCTCAGCCCGTGGGTCACCAGAACCCGAGTCTGAAAGAGTACCATGTGTGATGTGAAATGTCTATAAGAGATGTATACATATTTGGATAATACATGGCTAAAATGGCCTTACTCTGCCCTGTAGCAACCCCTGAGGCCCGATGACCTTCTCAAAGATGTGTTTTCCCACATGAGCATCCACAGCGGAGAGTGGGTCATCCAGCAGATACACTGCACAGTTGCAGTAGATAGCCCTGGCCACACTCACCCGCTGTTTCTGACCTCCAGACAGATTCACGCCCTAAAATGACAATGTCACATGATTAACCCAACTGACTGCTATTTAAATAATGTCAGATTGTTGCATTAAAAGCAGCCTGTGACACCATGCAGCATTAACCTTCAATGTATCGTGCTTGTTTATGACAAAGTGTAAGAATCTTTCTAAAGTCTTTATTTACCTTCTCCCCAATCTCTGTCAAGTCTCCTCCAGGTAGGATCTCCAGGTCTGGTAGGAGAGCACAAGCCTCCACCACCTTCTGGTACCAGCTGTCTTTTGCGTCCCGTCCAAACAAAATGTTGTCTTTGAGAGTGGCGTTTTGGATCCAGGCCTGCTGTGGCACGTAAGCCACAGAGCCCTGAAAAACATCAGATACTCAATGCATTTATTTATCATCCTATTATCAATGTTATCCAAATACACAGTGGGCCCAAAATTCTTGGACCGCTTTGAAAAACTGGTATTTTTCTTTCATACTGTTCTTAAGCTTAAGCTTTAACCTTAAATGTCTTTAAGGCATTGTTGTTAATAAATCAAAACAAAGAAAGGTTTTGGCATGTAATGAAGCATTTCTAAATCAAATAAAAAAATTTGGGACATTGATCATGTGACAGTCAGATGTTCTTGCTTTCACAGAAGCACAAGACGCTTTTTGGCACATCTTCAAATCATGTGGAGTTGACGCCAATCAAGGAACAAACCAAATACTAAGACGTTACGAAATTCGAACTTTAATTCTAATTCAAATTTTCATTACATTGTTATGCTGCTAATATAATGAAATGATGTAATATAAAAGCTATGAATATTTTATAAAAAAATATATATATAGTAAATTATATTTTATACATAATAAAATATTAAATTATAATTGAAAATCTAGTGGTCTGAAATGTTTGAGCCCCAGTGTAAGCAGTACATAATCTATTTAACTTAAATACAACAAAGCACTTAACTCGAAGAGCCACTGTTTCCACACAAAATTATTTCAGGCAACCTTGCAATAAAGAAGCACATAGCTTGTGTCTGTACCTTAATCGAGACAGATCCTTCTTGCTTCTGCATTTCTCCCAGCAAAGCTGAAAGCAGAGAGGATTTCCCTGAACCCACGTGCCCTACCACAGCAACAAGCGCCCCCTCAGGGATACGCACATGAATCCTGAAGAGACAGAGAGACGCGCTGAGACAAGAACAGATACAAACAACAACAAACAGTTCAAGCAACATGTGGACAGAGGCGGCAAAGAGTTAATTAATTCATTCAGATTTCTTCATTCACTTCATTGTTGATTGCAGATTTCGGGCAAATCCTTCAGAATGTACTGATAGAATTGTAAAGTCAAATTACACAGTTCAATGCATGATTTGAAGTAAATGGTGGAAATTAAGCTAAGATTGAAAGCAATTCAGCATACCCAAATTTCATTCTCCCTCTCATTAATATCAGTGGAGATTCACCAGATTACATTTCCTCTGGCGATTGATGCTCTCCTGTATCGGGGTTCATGCACATGTACTTGCCTGTAATGTCCTCAGAAGCCTGTTTCACTGGTTCTGCTCTATGTAACCGCAATATTAATGTCAATGCTAAAAGTCATTTTGATGCCTTGAAAATAAAAACAACAACAACAACATTTGTGTAGAGTACATAGGGCTGGGAATTGATAACGGATATTAAGCCCAAAAATCAAATGATTTTCATGACGTTCTGTTACATTAACGGGTCTTGAATGTTTTCTAATGTGGGCAGAAACAGTATTGAAATACTGTAAACTGTAGCATTTATTGCCTAATAAATAGACTTTTGCATTGTTGCTGTTGCATACAACAATAACAATATTGTATGACCGGTATAGTCCTATTCAAATGGCAAACAAATGACTAATCAGTCTTATGTTAGACTTGCTAGACTGACAGGTTGTACTACAATAGCTTTTTGTAACAAATTGTACTTCAAAAAAAAGTGATCATTGTTATATAAAAAAAGTGTTGTTTGTGTTTAGTTTTGACTAATTGTTGAGGGAAATTGGTGCTTCTTTAAAAGTAATAAAATAGTTGTACATGGAATCGTTCATCAGAATCGTGAAATTTCGTACAATTCCCATCCCTTGTACTCTATAACACTAAAAAAAAATGCTATTCATTGGATCATGTAGTATCTCTTTTACACGCAAAGAAAACGGTGTTACCTCTTCAAAGTAGGGGAGTCATCTTTAGACCAGCTAAAAGCTCCGTCCACAATCCTGATGCTGTCAGGAGCTGAATGAGCAGGAAACAACAATGAAGTCTCTTAAGTGAACATCAAAACACACGGGATGTCTTTAAACCCACAGATCTACTGAACAGCTGCTACTCTCTCATACAATGCTGTTTTATGTCTGTCTGTGGAAACTGTTTGTGGACTGGAATGCTTTGTGAGTCAAACACGCATAGCATACTAAAAAAATACATGCCACAGAATATGGCACATTTGTTTAATTTCAGATTTGAACTGCTTGTGAATCACTCGACTCACATGCAGTGATGGCTGGCCGCTCCACATTGTCTTCATCCAACTCCTCATGGGACAGAAACACACGCAGACGCTTCATAGACACACTGGCCTGATGGAAGCAATACATTTCATAGTCATAAAAAAATTGAAATCAGATGACAAGTTCCTGGATTTCCGTGTTAACCGTGCTATCCTTCTCGATCCCATCACAAGTGGCCAAAAAACGTTTGAGATGCGTTTGAACTTATATCACATTCTAAGGTATTTCAAGGTTCACATTTTAGTTCAATGTTTTTTAAAAAAGAAAGAGAGAGAGAGAAAGGTAATACCTGCACCATGCTGCTGATGACCATGGGCAACATATTAAGAGGGAAGCGCAGGATGTTGAACAAGGCCAGAGAAACGAATGCCTTCTGTGCATCCAAAATATTATGTTCATCCATTAACACATATACTGCGAATGTGGAAAGGGCAACCTTTGTAAAAGAGACAAGATGACAAGAGCAAACGTCACTGCACAACCATAAGGTAGCATCAAAAAAAAAAAAGTGGGCATAATGATGAAAAAGCCCATGCAGGACTAGAACTCAAAGGCACCACCTACCAAAAATGGTGCGCAGACCCAAGTAAAGGTGGACACAGCACCAAGGTAAGCAGTCTTCTTCAGCACACGCAATTCACTCTCTCGGATGGCAGAAACTTTGTCTTTGAATGCCAGTTCCCATGCGTAGAGTTTGAGGACTTTAATGCCATTCAGCACCTCATTCATAAGCTTGATCCTATTGTCCTTGCTTTTCATTTGGGCAACCTGTGGGTGAGTGTGTCAGATTAACAAAGACGAACTAATTAACTAAATTGCCTGCTGAGCAGGAAAAGAGGTACAAACCTGGTAGGTTTTAGTTTTCATGGCAATGACTGCATTTACAGGAACCATTAGCACCATCACAGCAACTCCAGCAAGCACAGAAGGACCCAGATTCTTATAACAAAAGAGCAAAAAATAAATAAAAACAGGTATTAGTGATGTGCAATGAAATAAGCATACAAGCCAAGACACCTTTGTGTAGGCACATACCTGCCACAGGAAGTAAAGGGCCAGGATAACCTGCAAAGGTGCTGACCAAATCATGTTGATATAGGTTATGAGGTCCATAAAACGCTGAGCATCTACAGACATCAGATTCACAATCTCTCCGACAGTGGATGTTCGTCGAGCAGCATTGGTAATGACCAAGGCCTTGACAAAATGAAGGAAAATATTATAAATCACTACACTACCATTCAATTTCTTACTTTTTTAATTAAAAATAATTTAAATTAAAAAAAAAAAGTAAAGAAATGTGTTACTTTATTCAGCAAGGATGCATTAACTTGATCAAAAGTGACAGTAAAAGACATTTATCGTGTACATTTATAGTATACAGCTTTGCCATCACATGAACAAAATACATTTTACAATATATTACACAACAAAAAATTTAAATTGTTTTCTTGATCAAACAAATGCAGCCTTGGTGAGCATGTTGTTCATTCACCAACACATTTTCGAAAAAACATTAAAAAAAAATCTTACTGACCCCAAACTTTTGAATGGTACTGTATATAAACTTTAAAAGTCATATTCATTAAAAAACATGGCAAATTCACACTTGACATGCATTTTTTGCCGTTTTTTGAACCTCCAAATGTGCATGAACACTGTATTACTCCATGTTACAGACATTTGAGCAATCAAAAGTCCACTTACTTTCCTGTACACGGCACCAACAATGGCCGTACGTAACCTCATGCCTGTCACAAAGCAAACATGGAAATATTTCTGCAGAATGAGGGTTTGCACGCAGGTACAAACGAACAGCAGGGTGGTGTAGAAGTAGCCATGCCAAGTGGGGGCACTTGAATCATTCACAAACTGGATCAGTAGCCTAAGATAAAAAAAAGACCGAACTCACATGAGTATAAATTAACATGTCAATCACGCAGCAGAATGCAGTTCTTCTGGATTCAAGTGCAAGAAAAGTGGGCAAACTGGATAAAGGCTCACTGCCGAGACTTCAGGTGTTATTTTCAAAGGATTAGAGAGGATTTAAACATGGTCAAGTGCACAATTTGATGGCACAACTTCTCAGCATGCCAAAACTAACTCTTCACTGGAGCTCTTTTAAGAGCCACAGCTGTTGTTTTGACAGAGTGGCCTTCCCACAGAGTTAGTGGCCTAGTTAGTCATTTCCAACCACATGACTGTGAAAAGGCAGAGGGCACACTTGCACTTTCCCCTGCAGAGAACTACTGCTTCTGAACTCAGCACAGATGGGAATAATCGCACGTGGAAAAAAGAAAAAGATGATTCTGATGCTGTATATTCATACCTGAGAATCTCTGGCCCAACAAACATCAGGATGTCATGAATAATCTTATACAGAGAGCTGACGAGAAAGTATGGTCCAAAGGTTCGGCAGAGCGCGCAGAAAAGGGACGGCTCGCCAGTTTTCTGAAGGGTTTTTGCAAGCAAAATCTCAGACTCTTCTATTGGTTGTCCATCCTTCTTTTCTCCCCTTGCTGCTCTTTTTGGGGAGTAGAGTGTCTTATCTACGGGCCTAACACAAAAAGCATAACCCAATCAGAGGATTAGTCATTTTTGTAGCAAGTTGTCTACTTGAGAAAAAAAAGTGACTTCTCACTTCTGACCTTTTGACCTTATTGCATTCCTGGTCCCAGCGGCGCACCAGCTGTGGCACCACTCTTTGAGACTTATCCTCCGTGTTGAGCGACCACAGATCCTTCTCTTCCAGAGGCCTTTTATAACCAGTCACCATCAATCTATGAGGAAACAAGAGGAACATACATCAAGAAAAAAACATCCAGTCTGAATACAAGCTTATACATAAGCAAAAAATGAAGGCTTCTTCAAAAAGGATACTTCTACCCGATACAGACAGTAGAGAGAAGATAGAAATTGATGGGATGAATGGGATCAAGAAATTACATGAGCCAGAATAAACCTTCTAGATTTTTGTTGTGCAAAATTAATTTTTTTAAAGAAAGAGTGATAGAGATGCAGTCATTTATTTTGCTCACCCTGTGATCCACCAGAAAGTGATTCTGGACAGGAATGAAGCTCCCGACTCTGGACATGGATTCTGTACAAAAACATTCACAGCACTGGGGATCAATTCAACATTCATATAATAAGGCATTCCTCTACCTTCTTTAAGTAAAGTTCACTAACCGAGTCTTTGACAGCCTGTGAAAAGAGTGGAGGCTGGTCGGACAAGCAGGCCAGGATCAGGGAGATGAGCAGCATGGTGTAATATATGTAGAAGGTGGTATATTTGAACACATTCACACTGGCAGGCTGAAAGGAAAGACCAAACAACAATTTAAGGGTTTTCTCACATTTCAAACAAACCTGATTTGTTTTTGTTTTTTTATCTGTACTTTAGAACTGACTGTCCTTTTGCAATTGATGAAATATGATCCGTTTATCCAGTTTGTTCAATATCCTGTACAGGTGCATCTCAAAAAATTAGAATATCGTGAAAAAGTTCATTGTTTTTGGTAACTTATTTCAAAAAGTGAAACTTTCATATATTCTAGATTCATTACAAAAGTGTTATTATTTCAAAAGTTTTTTTGTTTTAATTTTGATGATTAGAGCCGTGACGTCTGCTGGTGTTGGTCCATTGTGTTTTATCAGGTCCAAAGTCAATGCAGCCGTCTACAAGGAGATTTTGGAGCACTTTACGCTTCCATCTGCTGAAAAGCTTTATGGAGATGCTGATTTCCTTTTCCAGCAGGACTTAAGCATCTGCCCACAGTGCCAAAACCACTTCCAAGTGGTTTGCTGACTGACATGATATTACTGTGTTACTGTGATTGGCCAGCCCACATGTCTGACATGAACCCCATATAGAAATCTATGGGATATTTTCAAGAGAAAGATGAGAAACAGTCGATCCAACAATACAGACGAGCTGAAGGCTCAATAGTGCCTCAGCAGTGCCACAGGCTGATCGCTTCCACACCTCACCGAGGCTGTCATTTGTGCTAAAGGAGCCCCGACCAAGTATTTAGAGTGCATAATTGAACATACTTTAAAGAACTTGAACTTTTCTGTTTTGCAAATCCTTTTTTTGATTAATCTTAGGAAATATTTTGAGATACTGGATTTTTGACTTTCATGAGCTGTAAGCTATAATGTGTAATTTTAAAT